CCCATACATACATACACTTCACTATTTCACTCTTCTATCGCCGGGTATATTCACTCGCCACCACTTTCAAATTCAATCGTTAATTTCTCGCTGCAATTATAATGTCTCTCAATGATACTTTTATTTCACTCATTTTAGACCACTTTTAGATTCAGCTTTGGGTTTCTTGCTGCAATCATAATACCTCTCTTTTTATACCCTGAACCCATTGAAAATGGGAAATCAGGGTATAATGGTTTTGTTAAAAGTATGTAACAGACAGAAGGAGGCGTGGCAGACCCCACAAAGTATATATATTCTTGATCAGGGCGACGAGCTAAGTCGATTTGGCCCTGTCCGTCTGTCTGTCCGTCCGTCCGTCCGTCCGTATGTATGAACGCGTCGATTTCAGAAGATATAAGAGCTAGAGACTTCAAATTTTTTTTCCTAGGTCCGTGTATATCACGCGCATATCAAGTTTTTCTTTTTATATCGATAACTACTCCCGATAATTTATTATCGATCAAAAACCTTATCGAAAGCTAGTTATTTAATTATACCTCCTACACCTTTAGAGCTAGAGCTTCCAAATTTTATATGTAGACTTATATGCATTTTATATAATTTCGATTTTTATTGTAATTTACCCCCCACCCCTATATCCACCCCCTCACCCTCACCTTTGTAAAAGACGTATTTGAAGTACTAGAGACTTGTGCTTTGGAATGTACATACATTTAAATATTATGATTATGTTCTGAAAGTTTCATTAAGATTGTACGTCTAGAAATTAAAATATTCAACAAATAAATCCTTATAATGTTGCTCACACTGCAGCGCAGCACAAGCGCAGTCGCTGCTTACTGCGCAGTTAGCAGAGCGCGTTCTAATACGTGGATGTGTATGTACGTGTGCCGAAAAGAAGTGCAGAGTGATTAGAATATTAGATTAGAGGGTTCAGGGTATCTCCTAGTCGAGCAGTCTCGACTAGAATCTTCTTACTTGTTTTTTTTATACCCTGAACCCATTTTCAATGGGAAATCAGGGTATAATGGTTTTGTTGAAATGTATGTAACAGGCAGAAGGAGGCGTGGCAGACCCCACAAAGTATATATATTCTTGATCTGGGCGACGAGCTGAGTTGATTTGGCCCTGTCCGTCTGTCTGTCCGTCTGTCCGTCTGTCCGTCTGTCCGTCCGTCCGTCTGTCCGTCTGTCCGTCTGTCCGTATGTATGAACGCGTCGATTTCAGAAGATATAAGAGCTAGAGACTTCAATTTTTTTTTAAAATGTTCGTAATTACAGCGCGCATATCAAGTTTATCATTAAAAATCGATAACTCATCCCGATCTTTTTTTATCGATAAAAAACCTTATCGAAAACCAGTTATAAAATTATATCTTCTACACCTTTATTGCTAGAGTCTCCAAAATTTTAATGTATGCCTATATGCAATTTATACAATTTCGGTTTTTGTTAAAATTTACCCCCCACCCTTAAATTCACCCCTAACCCTCACTTTTGTAAAAAGCGTATTTCAAATACTAGAGACTTGTGCTTTGGCAATTACATGCATATCCATGTTATAATCATAATCTGAAAGTTTCATGAAGATCGTACGTCCACAAAAAAGTTATTAAGCAATTAAGTTCTCATAGTAAGCGCTCACTGCCGCCCATGCGTGTTTATGCTTGTGTGTGTGTATATGTATGTAATTGTTTGTGTATGTGTGTGTGTGTGTATGTGTGTATGTATGTGTGTGAATGTATGCCTGTGTGTGCGTGCGTGCGTGCGTGTGTGTGTGTGTGTGTGTGTGCGTGTTTCTTGTGTAAGCTGAAAGACGCGAAAAATTATTGAAATAGCTATTACTCCAAGGGTTCAGGGGATCTCGTAGTCGAGTAGTCTCGACTAGAGCTTTCTTACTTGTTTTTTTTTGTTACTTACTCTCGGAGTGGGCTGCTCTGCTCTTGCCACTTCTCTTTGCTCACTTTTTTTCTTCTTTCGCTAGATTTCGGCGACGTTCGCTATGCTGCCCCCGCGCGTGCATATGCTTATGCATATGCGTCTTCGGCTTACGCTTCTGCGTAATATTTTCGCCCGCACTGTACTTTTCGGCGCCGTAACGGTTTTCTAATCCCGTTTTTCGCTTGATGCTTCCCGAAATTTCTACCCCCGACCCCGTGGCCGTTGTAGGATATATTCGCTTTTAAATTTTCGCGCTTCGCCACGAATGTTCTCGATTTCTCCGCTACTTTTCCTTGCACACTACTTTATTCGAAATGACCGCCACCAACAACTTCGCAATTACCTCTATTTGGGTATGCCGGCGGGATTTTACGCCGCCCGTATACCACACTCTCTCTAGCCCCGCGAGTCCCTGCTCGAGCGCCACTTGTAAGGTTACATTATTTCAGCCGGGGTCAGAGTCTCAGTCTGCCCAGGGCCACAACTTACAAGAAATTTATAAGTTAGTACGAGACTGTGCATGGTTAGAGAAATGGGAGAGGGAGGGGAAGTTGTTATATGTCAAGCGACCACGCGGCCTGAACTCGCCGACCACGCCCACGTTTGCACGCGGGAAGGCGGTAGCGATCGAGTGGCGCGATCAAGCGCACTCCAGATTGCTGGGGTCGGGGTTGCGAAGGCGTGCCGTGGGGTGTTAGTGGGACCACTACGATCGGTAGACCGCGGGTCGAGGAACGCCCAGCGTTGCCGCCGGCGTTCACTCAAGACCACGCGATTTTACTGCCAGAGTTTTGACCTTCCGGCGAACGGGTCGTGACCTCGTTCAAACTACCAGTTAGTGTTATCGCGGTTAGTTATGACTAGTAAACTAGTAACTTGCTTAGTAAGCTAACTACGAATAAATACGCAACCATCGCTACGTGCATTTCCTTACTTTATTAACCTCGTCGTCTTATAACCTTTATATTTGCTAATCGATTTTATTTTCTCTTTTGAGCGCGTCTGCTCACATCGAGAGCTCCAGACTGACTAAAATCTGCACGCAGCTTTCAATCCTCTTCTGCCGCTGTGCAGATTTTACCACGCGACCAGCAATGCAATTCACCATTGCATTGCTGATCGCGGGCCCGCCCACTCATTTGAATTTCGCTTACTTTCTAAGGCTAATCGCTACGGCACTTACATCTAATTATTAACTACTTAGTGCTACCTTACGAGCTAACGCTTATTCTACTTGCTGCCTAATAATAATCAACTAATATCAACTTACGTCCTACAACTGAAATATTAACAATGATTTCAAAATATAACCTTAATAACTACAAAAATCAAAATCCATAACAACAAAATTCCATTTCATTGTCCTTAATCGCTACAAAATCAAACTATGCCTCCAATCCTATTCAAATCCTATTCACCATAACAAAAATCTATTTCATTCAATATCTTTACTTATTACCTACAAACATGTAAGGTGGGCAAAGAAAAGGCCACCTTACAAACCCTAAATCGTTCAACCAATTCCAAGTTGAGGTAGGCACACGCCAATGTTCATGTCCCATGCGTACAAACAATCAAATGTATATACATACATACATACAGTTTGGCAAGAAAGTGTTTACACACAGGGAAAAAATTTTAATTTTTTACTTTGAAGCGAAATAAAAGCAGTAAGAATATGCATATTCAATTTTTAAACTCATTCACGAAAGTGAATCATTAAACTCGTTCACGAAAGTGAATCAGCTAGAAGCTTCAAATTGTTGATGGGATGTGAATGAGTATTCCGCAGTCAGTAACGCCCGACTGCTACGTTCTTACTTGTTTTAAAATGAAAATAGGTAAATTAGACTATAAACTATATTAGTAAGTAAAAAAAATTACAATATGTTTCCATTAACAAAAGAAAATAACAAAAAACAATAGAAGTAACAAAAATCAGCAAGAAAGTGTTTACACAACTAAAACAATTAATGCATTATATTGTTTTAACTACTTTTTAGTTAAAACTAATACTTTTTTTGGACACCTTTGGCATCTATTCATCGATTGGACCATGTTTCTGAAATATTCCACTGGGATATTTTGCCATTCCTGCAAAACAATGGTTTTCAGCTCAGTTTTATTCTTTGGATGCCTCTTGGCGGTCCTCTTCTTCAGATAAGCCCACAAATTCTGGGTGATTTCCGTGCATTTATAACTAAAGTTTTTACTCGATAAAAAAATAACGGGATGAGCTATTGATTTTTAGTGATAAACTCGATATCCATGCTGAATATTAGGACATTTAGAAAAAATTTGAGGTCTCTAGCTCCTATCTTCTGAAATCGACGCGTTCATACATACGGACAGACGGACGGACAGACAGACAGACAGGGCCAAATAAACTCAGATCGTCGCCCTGATCAAGAATATATATACTTTGTTGGGTTTGCCAAGCCTCCTTCTGCCTGTTACATACATTTCAACAAAACCATTATACCCTGATTTCCCATTGAAAATGGGTTCATGGTATAATTAAAATGTAGGATGTATGGAAATATATTTAAAAATCAAGCGACAAAAATTTTGCAAAGTGTCTGAAGTGTTTGACGTGTGGAAAGGAGTATAATCAAAAGCCCAATAACCACAATATTTTTTTTTATCATTTTCTATTCCACAATTTTTACTTCATTGAATTTTTTAAAATAACTGATTTTTTATGTTATTTTATATTAACCGAATTTTAAAGAGTTCTAGTTGCTTAAAACATCGAATAGGCCAAGTTTCATATTGGATCTATCGGGGTACTATCGACGTTACTATCGACAACTATCAATGTTTCCGAATTCGCAATCGCCCACTATCGATAGTTTGGCACCTCTATTGTGCATACTTGGCAGTAGGTATTGAAGCTGGGTATAATATTTGAGTTGTTTTAAATTGAATTCAAAGCAACTCTAGTTTTCACAAATACCATCTTTAGGCTATTGTTGACGCCTGCGCTGTGCGGTAACATTCCACACATATTGATCCGAACATGCCGTTACCGAGGCGTGAGAACAGCGCCGACCTGACGAAGGTGCGTGCCTGTATATGAAATTCTTGCAGCATGTGGAACCTAAGGACAATCAATACACATATTTGCAAGCATACATTGACCTAGCAGGTCCAGTTTAGTTGCTGGGTTTGTCTCGATTCAGTTTCGCACAGGATATAGAAAGAAGAGGTGTGCAACACACGACGTGTCACAAATTTTATTGCTGCCGTCGGTACCACTTCCTGATAAATGCTTTGTTACTTGTGAAATGCGAACCGTGAACAGTGAACGGTAAACTGCACATTCTTGTCAGCATCGACTGATGCGTCGCTCTGTTCGTGTTATCATCGATTTTATCCTTATGTGTGGAGTGGCGCCTCGAATTTAACGCTACTGACACAACTGGTTTATTGTCTTAAATGGTGTTTTTTTTTTTTCTGTTTGGTTGTGAACAACAAAATAAATTATATATAAGCAATTACAATGAGCTGCAAGCAAAAAAAAAATATTTTTTCGCATGCTAAATTGTAGAAATGTTGAATTTCTGTAGTCGCTCCCGTAATCAGATTTTGTATGCGTTAGTATCACATTTAAATATATAATTTATATATTACATACAGAATCTGATTATATATATATATATATATATATATATATATATTCATGTGATAATATATATATTTATACTAAGGTATATACATACATGATTAGATGACACGTTTCAGGGTTGCTGGCACAGTTATATCTCGTCAGTTAAAATATATACCATTTTTGTATATGGCAAAACCAAAATGAGAAAATTTAAATTCCGATGGATTATTAAGTGTGCACAAAACATCAATGACGATTAATTAATTAATTATATTGAGTATAAAGAATACATTAAAACACAGTTTTTAATCAAATTGAGTTCTGAAATATGTATATTTTAAATTAATTTTTAACCAACGCTCTTTGTCTACGTTTTTGTCGATACACAAATACAAATATGTATAAATATATGTAAATACATACATATGTACATTCATATATGCACAAAAACCAAATGTATATATTTATATGAAACAAATAGATATTCATGAAGTTTCGAGGTCTCAAATCGCATATTATTCAACATATTTGCTTTTATACCAGGTGACACATATTAAAGTGATTTAAATCCATTATACATATAAAAACAAAATCAATTAAATAAATATTGAGCCTTCGGCAACACTGTACTTACATATATACCATCCGAAGTAGCTCAAAAGCGCATAATAACATCAGGTTAGTATCTCTAAATAAATATATGTAAGTATACATACATACATACATATGTATATAACATTTTCGGAGTCTTTGTCCACAATATTATGAAAATTTAGAGGGTCGAATGGAGCAGGGGCCGTAATCCCAATTTTAATAATAATACATAATATCTTCAAAGCTTACACATTTGAATTAGTTTATGCCAACATAAAACATAGCATCGAAATACAGTAGATTCCGGTTATAACGACTCCGCTTAAAGCGTCCAACCGATTATGTCGACGAAAATTCGATCTCTTGGTTGGTCCCCATACAAACTTATATGAAAGAGCCTCCGCTTAGTACGTCTCCGCTTTTAATGACAATACGCTTATGCCGACGAATTTTTTCATATTTTTGAGTCAATCACCGGTTATTACGACGTGATGAAAAAAAAATCGCGAAATAATGACAACAAATTTCAGCATAAAAAGACTCTGTTAGAAATGTATACATGTATATATTGATCAGTGATCAGTACCCTTGCTTGTGTGCGTAGCAACGCTACAAATGCTGCTAAGACAGAGAGGGAGAGAGACAAAGTACAATGCCGACGTCACAAAAATGTTTCTAAACCATGTTATTGAAATAAGTTTATAAACAAGTAAGAAAGCTCTAGTCGAGACTACTCGACTACGAGATCCCCTGAACCCTTGGAGTAATAGCTATTTCAATAATTTTTCCCGTCTTTCAGCTTACACAAGAAACACGCACACACACACACACACACACACACACGCACGCACACACAGGCATACATACACACACACACACACACACGCACACACAGGCATACATACACACACACACACACACACACACACACACACACACACACACACACACACACACACACACACACACACACACACACACACACACATACACAAACATTTACATACATATACACACACAAGCATAAACACGCATGGGCGGCAGTGAGCGCTTACTATGAGAACTTAATTGCTTAATAACATTTTTTTTGGGCGTACGATCTTCATGAAACTTTCAGATTATGATTATAACATGGATATGCATGTAATTGCCAAAGCTCAAGTCTCTAGTATTTGAAATACGCTTTTTACAAAAGTGAGGGTGAGGGGGTGAATTTAAGGGGGGGGTAAATTTTAACAAAAATCGAAATTGTATAAATTGCATATAAGCATACATGAAAAATTTGGAGACTCTAGCAATAAAGGTGTAGAAGATATAATTTTATAACTGGCTTTCGATAAAGTTTTTTATCGATAAAAAAAAGATCGGTATGAGTTATCGATTTTTAATGATAAACTCGATATCCGCGCTGTGATTACGAACATTTAAAAAAAAAAATTTGAAGTCTCTAGCTCTTATATCTTCTGAAATCGACGCGTTCATACATACGGACAGACGGACAGACGGACGGACGGACAGACAGACGGACAGGGCCAAATCAACTCAGCTCGTCGCCCTGATCAAGAATATATATACTTTGTGGGGTCTGCCACGCCTCCTTCTGCCTGTTACATACATTTCAAGAAAACCATTATACCCTGATTTCCCATTTTCAATGGGTGCAGGGTATATAAAATGGTTGTTTTGATCAAAAAGTTAAATTGTTTTGTAGTAAAAGCTATTACGAAAATGGCAACCGTAAAAAAAAAAAAAAAAAATATATTTTTTACTCTATCTGGTTAAAGCGTCCTCCGGGTATAGCGACGTAAAATCGTCGGTCCCTTGAATGTCGCTATAACAGGATTCTACTGTATTTGATTTACTTTTCTAATAAACCCTTTCGACACCACTTTTTCTCTGTGGAATGAACATTTTTTTATTCACTCCTAATCTTTTTTATTATACCGTGAACCCATTTTCAATGGGAAATGAGGGTATAATGGTTTTTTAACAGGCAGAAGGAAGCGTGGCAGACCCCACAAAGTATATTCTTGATCAGGGCGACGAGCTGAGTTGATTTGGCCTTGTCCGTCTGTCTGTCCGTCTGTCCGTATGTATGAACGCGTCGATTTCAGAAGATATAAGAGCTAGAGACTTGAATTTGTTTTAAATGACCATATATACAGCGCGGATGTCGAGCTTGCTTTTAAAATTCGATAAATCATCCCGTTATGCTTTTATCGAATAAAAACATTCAAGTTCAAGTCAGATGCCACTATAGCTAATTGTGAATGATTTTTCATTTTTTTAAATTTCTCAAATATTCAATATAATATGTAGATCATATGCTGAAAGTTTCATTAAATTCTGTTCAGTCAAAAATTAATTAAAAATCATCAAATATTTGGCCAATTAACAAACGCACGTGCAGCAGCTACAACAGCATCGTATACGTGTGCACACATACATTCAAACTTATTCTGGAACATTCTTTGAATCACATCAGTTAGTTTGGTTTAATTTTGGTAGATGGCGCTGCAGCAGTGAGTCTATTTGAGTTTTGCCAGCGCCGCTTTTAGAAGCGAGGTGGCGTAGTCTGTTAGCGGCATGACGCTCGATCGAGAAGTCGTGGATTCGAATCTCGATCGGTGCAACTTATGCTAAGTTTTAGACTCATTCACGAAAGTGAAATGAGTATATTGGTTTTGTGCAATGTCCGTCTTGCTGTCCGTCTGTCCGTATGAACGCAATCTATTTCGGCGCTATTGAAGCTAGAGACTTAAAATTTGGAACACATACTCGTGTATATCTCCAATTTATAAAGTGTTAAAATTTTCCCGATCCGCCCACTGGGGGCGTGGAAAATAGGAAAATACATTTTTCGATATACCAGAAATTATGTTTGTTGAAAAGCTAGAAAGCTGAAATTTGGTATGTAGGTCCGCATCGACCACCCAAGATCGCGAGCTATGGCAGATATATCTCGCCCATTTGGGGGTGGCAAATTGGATAAAACTGTTTCTCCCAAAGTAATAAGTCTAGAATGCTGAAATTTTGCACGTGAGCTGATGTTGCGATTCAATAAAGATGGGTAAAAATAATTTTATATCCACGCCTACTAGGTGCGTGACAAATCGGACCTTAAGGTATAGTGATTTTTCCAATTCTGCTTTATTTTGGACACTGTTGATGCTGTTGAGACCTGTAATTTGGTATATATACGCGGGTTGACCACCCAAGTCCAACGAGCTTTGGTAGATATATGTCCGCCCATAGGGGGCGTGACAAACCGCAAAAGCTTATATCTCCTACAGTTTAATTACTAGAAGCTTCAAATTTAGATAGTTAAGTTACTGGTATCCTCTTCTATCGATGCCTCAAAAACATAGCTCGCAAATAACTGTTAACACTTTTTCGTTGTCTGCAAAAAAGTGTCTTTCACTGACACAGTCAAAAAAAACTCAGACAGAAACTGTTTTTGTCGCGTCTGGCTTAGCTCTCTCGCGCTCTGAGGGAGACAGTTGTTTCTGTTTTCGTTTCCCCAAGTCAAACACTGATCGTTTGCTTAAGTTGCGTTTGTAGGCAAAAGCATTTTCTGCTGAGTCTTTTAGTCAAAGTGTTTTTTGCTGAGAGTCTTTGTGTGAGGGAAAATCGTGTTAGTTTTACGCGACACTCATGTGAGAGCGTCACACGAATGAGTCATTGCATTGCATCTAAACGAAACAGATGCTAAAGAAAACTGAGAGTGACGCTGAGAGCGAGATGTGTCTGCACAATTTTTTTGGTTATGATGCGAGGAAGAGAATAAACGAAAAAACGATCAACTCTCATTTGCAAGCTCTGCTCAAAAATAATATTAACGCCTCTTTAGGGGCGTGGCATATCGAAAAATACCCTGTAATTTTCACATTTTTTGAGCGTTAGAATTCAAATTTTGCATTTAGGTTACTGGTTGCTCGTTCTAAGAACTGGCCAAAAATGAGGAGTCTACGGCCACTAGTGGCGTGGTAATCGGCATTTATAGTACCCGAATAGCCACATTTATATGCGTCAGCCATCTATTTATTTATTTGTACACATAAATAGGCTTAATAGACATTGATAGCACGGAAGGAAATATTTTTATAAAATTAATATAATATAAAAATACTAAAATAACAAAAATTTGCAATTTACAAAAGAGTTTTCCGCGGGATTTGAGCTCGCACCCAAGCCGAATAGCATGCACATGTCAAAATACAGTCGACTCTCGTTACTTCGAAATTCAAGGGATTCTTAAAATATTTCGAATTATCGAATGTTTGAAATATACGGGTTTTTATTTAACGTAATGTACATACATAAGCTTTATAAAGAACTCATTTATACGGGTTTGCTTCGAAGCACATTGCTTCTGCTCAGACTTTTCAATAATTTTTTTAAAGACAAAAAGTGCCTGATATGCTGTTTCATCAGTTTCGTTTGGTAGACAAAAGCTTTGTAAGTTATCCAAGCTCTTGCTACCTTAACTGACACCGTTGCCAAAGGTTCTGATGTATCGTGAGTGGAGTGGAATCTTAAATTCTTTTGCAACATCGCTTTTCTTCTCACCTCCTTCTACTTTTTCAATTAGTTTCTTCTTTTCAGCAATCGTCAAACTTATACTTTATACTTTTTAGGACTCATTTAATAAAAAATGTTTAATGTATGTAACTAACGAAGCGATTCGTGCGGAAGCGAGCATAATAATGTGCCTATGTTTTATGCGTAACACGCAACCACGCACAGTAAAGTTAGTTTCAGGGGAATCCCAAAATTCAAATTCAAAGTTCTTACTAACACACCAAGAAACTTCGCAAATTTGAATTGTCGAGTGTTTAACCATATGGGACTCGTGATAACTTTGAATTAATGAGGTTCGAATAACAAGAGTCTACTGTATCTAAAGCAAAGATCGCCGGCGCTTCTGCCTACAACACCAGCGCATCGTTTCGAACAACAGTAGTTAAAACGAAATCACATTTTGGTTATGACGCCATATAGCAAAGAAAAGCCAATATAGCGGCTGGAAATTCAAAAACAATGCAAAGACAAATCAAATTGCAACGAGATTCTTAGAATATGCT